GTTATCACTTTGTGAGGGGCGTAAATGTCTAACTATTACATTGTTTTGTACACCTGAAACTAATAAAAAAAGAAAAAGAAACAGTACTTCATGCAATGCCATGGATCCAATGGATAGTGAAGAAACCAACCCTTAATGAAGAATCAAATTTTAATCAATCAATTACTTTTTTTCCCAATAGGCTGGATTTGTTTCTTAAAAATCCCACTAGTTTGGATTTATCTAAAGCACTTCAGATTTATCCAAAGAACACAGTGTTTACTGATAATTAACACAAACAAAAAAAAACATAGCAGCAACACGTAAGTCTTTAATAGAAATATTTATTACAGAATTAACTTGAATAATTAGTAACATGATTTCTGAGAAGCTAAAGTAGAAACAATTTCATAAAAGTCCTTATAATAATTAATCAGGTTTGCTTTCTGTAATTACCAGCATTCAAAAGGCAGAAAATTAGGCTTACCTGACTGCATCTGTATCAAACTGCAGATTAGGTTTGTCAATCAATCCCAAGGAATAGAGCTGATAAGCCAGAGCACATTTTCCCACCATGAACTGTGCTGTGTTGGTGCGATCTAAACAGTCCACGCAGTTGGTTCGAAGAACACCAGTCTAAAGAGAAATACCATAAGACTTTCAATCAGTATTCAGTCACCAAAACGACTTCCAGACTTAGATTTATTTTCTTTAAGAAGTAGAAGAAAACTGGTAGGGTGGATATTATTCCTGAACAAATAATGATGAACACTTCTTAAATTACAAAAGGTCATATTTGTTGCTCACTTAATATTGCTACAACAGTATCATTACACTTTCTAGTCTATATTTGAATTTTCTTCTTTAGTTTAAGAAGATAAAACACATAGCTAACATGTACCAATTAGTAAAATATGTGCTTTTTTTCTGATATATCTCCTTTACTGTGCAAACCAAATATTCAGAGGTTGAGACTATATAGATCACTGTTAAAGCATAATTAGTAAATGTAGTGATTATACCTGGCTCATTGTCCAAAGTCCTCCTAACTTATTCTTTTTACATTTCTGTTTATGTTTCTATTTCTAATAAAATTTATAATATATAGAAAAAAATCCATGGGCCATTATTATTTTAGCTGCACATCCTTTGTAGGAGTGCTTTTAAGAATTATTCTCAAATGATTAATAATTTTGCATGAAATAAGAAGAATGTCTCCCCATAGTTGCTCTCAGAAACCATCATACACTGTGGATACAGATTTTATTCATTATTAATATAATGTCTATACCTGCAGGCGACCAGTGGGAATCACAAATCCTCCTAGGTCATTCCACCTGTGTTTAAAAATACATGCTTTAAAAAAAAATTTTAGTGGTTTTATTTATTTATTTTTAAAGATTTTTATTAAAATATAGCTAACATACAATATTATATTAGTTTCAGGTATATAAAAAGTTTTAGTAGCATAATCTATATTCATTTTTGGTACTTTTAAGAACCAAAGTAATAGAGCTAACTGCGCCTAAATCAGCTGGTTCTGCTTACGTCCCTTCTTTCTGGTAAGTGAATATGCAGATAACCGAGATAGCATGCTATCCATGCTCTCCTCAAAGACAGCCCAGGAAAGCAGCATCTGAACTTGTCCCAGTGCCCCACACCCTGGCATTTTGTCACCCAGGTTCAACCACAATCGCCATTGCTTGAATTCAAGCCCATTTCTTGCTTGGTTGCTACAGACATGAATAGTAATTGCAGGGCATCTTTCTAATAAAATCTTCCAACCCTTATCCTTCTACCCTCAACATTAGGATTCTCTAGCTCCTCCAGTTTTTCTTCATGGAACGTTGTCACATTCCTTTGGTTATTGTTTTGTTTTCTTAGAAATATTAGTACTTTATTCCATTTCGTGCTGTGTCCTCAGGCTGTTTTTGCAGACTTCCTTATTATGTTCCTACTTATGTTCTCCATGTGCTAATGACTGCATGGGGATACGTTCTAAGTACTGTATAATGACATTAATATTTTATTTTGATTATTTAAAAGATGCAGTGTAGAAAACAGCTAACATAGCAGGCCTAACTGCTACCCTCAGAAAGGGAGTGCATCTGGGAACTTGGGTTCCCACCATCCCCAGAACAGATAAGAGGGGCTCACTGTGACTTAACTGTCTCTAGAAACAACATGGTTTTAAAGAATACCCTCTTTCCTTCTGGGAGTCTGGAATCTTGGTACATGCCAGGCAGAGGCTGCCTATGGGACCAGCCTCCAATAAAAAATCCTGCCACTGAGTCTCTAATAACCTCCCCTGGCTGGCAAGATTTCACATATGCTGGAGCAATTAGTGTGTTCTGTGTGACTCTACTCGGAGAGATCTCTGGGATCTTGCGCCTGATTTCCTCTGGACTTCGCCCAGTGGCTAGTTCCTTTGCTGATTCTGCTTTGTATCCTTTGACCGTAATATGTCATAGCCATGAGTACAATATGCCAAGTTCTTTGAGTTCTCCTGGTGAATCACTGAGCCTGGGAGTGGTCTTGGGAACCCCTGCTATCACAGGTGCCCTAAAATTCAAACGGTAACCAAAGGGTTACTTCTAAAGATATACACACTAGTAGTTGGTTGGTTGTTGCTTTTATTTTTTTTTACCATTACAGTTAAGTTTGTTAACTGAAAATAAAATGCTAGAAATATATATTGATTCCTTAAAAGATAAAGCACAGATCTTTGATCTGAAGAAACTCACAAAGTAGTAGTGAAGATCTGTGAGCTAATAACTATACAAATAACGATAGCAAATAACAATGATAAATATTATTTTCATTAACATGTTAGTATTTAGTCTAAAGAAAAAAACAATTTCCTGCGCTTATTTAATACTAAAAAGTATAATTCATTGCAGAAATTTTTTTTACAAAAGTATTTTATGTAATATTTACTCCATGAAGCAAGAGATAAAGATTCCATGGTTTCCATCTGAGGAAATCTCATGCCCACAGTGGATGCTCATTACACAGTCACAAGAGCATCTTGTCTTGTCTCCCCAAAGGAAAAAAATTCATCCATCTTCCAACTAGTACAAACTGCTTATATTTAGGATATTTTTATCCACAGAGCAAGTCTTAATTAATTTTAAGCTTTTAAACACTATACATACTTTTCATCTGGCCGCAAAATGCTACAGTAAGAATCGGGGCGGTTTACAAAGAAACCTGTTTTCTTCACCACACTTTCTGCGATCACGTTTAGTCGGTCAAGAACATTACACAGCTTGCTGAGGAGAGAAGGAAGAATTAGGAAAGTAGGAAGAACCCAAGTCTTAATTCATATTTATCCTTACATCTAAAGCAAATAAAGTCTATAGTAATGATATTTAGAAATTTAATTTTCAAAATCTCTGGTGTGTACACAGTTGGGACATTGTAACAATTTTTAGAATGTAATGTATACTCAATAACTAACAAGATTTGGTACAAAGAGACATGAAGGGCCTTTAACTTAATATCAACTATTGGTAAGCCTTAATCTTGGCTCATTACATCCCTGCAAGAGCTTTTCCCAAAGCCTTTCACTCCTCAGGAGTCAAGTCAGTCACGTCAATATGCATTCAGAAAATGACTGTGAGGAGAGCACAACACACAGTGTGTGTGGCAGGGGAAGAAAACACTGGACAATACATTTATATAAACGGCACCAACCTGTAATCAAACTTGTTATACTCTGGGAAAGTATGTGCATGCGCGTGCATGCGTGCGTGTGTGTGTGTGCGCGTGCGTGTGTGTGTGTGTGTGTGTGTGTGTGTGTGTATCTAACCACATAAAGTGATTTAGAAAAAAGTACGAGTTAAATGCAAAACAATACTTTACCATAGAGATCAGCTTCCTACTATCTTACATCACAAGAAAAGGAAAACATCCCCACCAGACATACATCTACTTGCCTTTTGGTGTACTTGGCCATGTCCCAAGGGATGTAAATAATAGTGTGCTCAGGAGGCAAAAACTGGTTGAGGTACGTCACAGCAGCTACGAGTTCTTCACTGAGAATTCTCTCATGCTTTCTTTTCTCTCGTTCCTTTACAAAGAATTAAACATTTTCAGTATTCTAATTACCTTCAGTGTTCTAATTACCTTAAATCAGAAGAATAGACTCTTAACATTTTTACTTTTCAGCTAAGACAAAAGCCTAAGTCTTAAATATACTGAAATGAAACCTACCTACCAAAATTAAAATCATATAAATGCAAAGAAATAAATATGTCACTGAATTAAAGTCAACAGATAATGAGCTTTAACGACTCAAGGAGATCAGATCAGGTCTCTTCCCAGTAACTTGCTGCAGCTCCAAGCTCAGCTCACCCTGCACGGGTCCCAGCCTACACAGGCCCACACCCCACTCTGGCAGAGGAGAATCCCCAAGGACCAGAAGAAGGGAACCCACAGGTCCAGTCAGCTACAGACCAGGCAGAGATCAAATAGGTCAATGGATAATCCCCAAACCGGCATTGTAGAAAGTGCTTTCGCAGCCTCCGTGTGTTTTAAAATTTGACTCTCGTAAAATATCCTGTGAGGTAGCCAAGGCAGGTCCTTTTTCCCTTTTATGCTATGGGTGAGTAAACTGAAGTTGAGAGGTGTTCATGTCTACACTTCACCTTCTGCCTGCTGTACCTCCTTAGATATTATACCACCTCTCATTCAAGGGGGGCTAGTGCCTGACTGGACAGCTCTGTGGCTGGAATGCTGGCTCTGCCACTTACTGGCCAACTGTCCTAGGCCTCCATGTCTTCATCTGCAAAATGGGCTAACAATGGTATCTTCCTTACAGCACTCATGTGAGGTTTAAATGGGATAAAACATGATAATTTCGTATTAGAGCATCTGGCACATAGTAAGGGTGAATAACAATTAACTATTTTATTGTTATCCTGCACCAGCCTTTACTTAGAAACAAAGAGAAACAGTTAATTCAGCAACAGTGACACTGACATGGTGTTGAGACACTATTGCTGGCAGCAAAATAGATCTCAGATATTTTCAATCATGATGATTACTTTTCAGTTGTCAAGAATGTAATTGGATAACCACTATGGAAACAAAAAAGGGTATCCATTTTGCACAGCTGAATAAATCAAATGGAGGAATTAGAAAAGAGCTGATTAAAAACAGTGTTATATCAGTTTAGGATGAACATATATTTAGCTTATTTTAACATCTGAGATAATTAAATTATGTACTGGAATTTTTCTCAAAAACACTTTAGTTTTTTAATTATTTGTTCAGTTACGGTTGACATTCAATATTATTTTATATTAGTTTCAGATGTACAGAATAGTGGTTAGATAGTGTTGGGAAAACTGGACAGATACATGCAAAAAAAGGAATTGGGCCAACTCCTTACTCTATGTATAAGAAGAAACTCAAAATGGATTAAAGACTTAAGTATAAGACCTGAAACCATTAAAACTTCTAGAAGAAAACATAGGCAGTGAACTCTCTGACACTACTCTTAGTGGTATTTTTTCAAAAGCACTTTAAGTCAAGTAGGGAAACAAAAACTTTTTGAAATCAAATCTGACATTTTATGAGATGGAGAAAAATGGTTACTAAATCAACCTTCGATCATCTCTGTGTAAAGAATCGGCTTTATGCATTGTCTGCCCATAATGGATGAGTGCTAGTAGACTAGTTAGTCCACCATGTAGAGTCACAGACCCCTTTCACAACCAAATGAAACCTTCACATAAACATATACAAGTGATTTTGCATATCATCTCAAAGGGTTCAAAGACCCCTTAATGGCCATCAATGGCCCCCTCTTATGTACAGTTATGCCTGATCCCAGGTTGACTTCCTATTGATATAGTAGCAGCATGGAAGACATACAGATTGCTGCAAAATGTCTGTCAACCAGTGCCTGAGACTTCCACAATTGTGGGGGTGGGGTTCACAACACAGGATAAAAAAGAAAATAAATCAAGAAAAGTATTTCACATTAGTAACTTCATAAGGAGGCAGAATAAAGAGTAAATATCCCTCGGTATCATTCCACACACACTCATTCTTTGACTCTTTAATCACAAATTACTGATTTCTTCCAAGTCAGCTGAATAAACATCTTCTTTTATCCTCTGAATACAAAATAATTAATGACAAAAACAACAACAAATATTTTTTTTCTATTCCTCAAAACAGCAACTTAACCTTCCAACTATTCTCTAGTTAATCTCTAGTTATTGCAGTATTTTTATGACAATAGAACAATAAACAAGTAGTTTTAAAATCCACTGACTGGCCTTTAAATATAAAAAAATAAATGTAGATTTGAGAAATCTGGGCAAGAATACCTTACAATCACATGTATCAAATATTATTTTTGAATCTGCACATTTAATAGAGAATTATTTCAAACATCGTAGACTGAATCTCCATTTGACCACAGCTTTTAACCACACTGTAAGGATTCTGTAAAACATGACAAAGATTCACTAATTTAGCTTAAAGTTTATATTCCAGAGACACCTTGTAATTTAGTGCTTTAGCAATAATTTATTTCTATACTAAAAAATATTTTCTACACTTTACTAGAAAAGTGCTCATGAAGGTTTTTGTTCTTAGAGTTTTCCTACTTTAATTTTTCAATTATGTGTATTATAGTAGGCTGAGGTTACAGGTTATCCAGCTACATTGCCTTACATTATTCTCTTTTAACAAGGAGAGAGATATGAAAATGAAACTTCTGAAATAATGTGAACAAGTCTAGAAAATGATATAGTTAATATCTGAATGATTTGTTTTGCAAAGTCAGTCCCTGGTAGGATGCAATAATTACATAAACCAAAGAACAACAGAGGAAGAAATGAAGCTGACTGCCTCATCGTCCACGGCTTCCCCCCTCACTTCCGTCCTCCCCATCGCCTGGCCACTCTCAGCCCACGTACTTCCAAAGTCTTGATTTAAAACACACACACACACAGCCTGCTCCTTTGAACCTGTGCATTTAGTTCCACGGTCCTCTCCTAACAAATGGCTCCCAGCCTTCCTTCCCACCCCAGCCTCTGCCCCCACCCTGGGCAGTACAGTGTGAGTACAGTGAAGTCATCCTCTCAGCCTCCCATCTTAGACCAATTCATCACCATAGGTAACTCCTCTGCCTCCCACCTTGCTCATCCAGAACCTGTCCTATTTCCAGACTGCTGGTTCTAACTACCCCCACCTTATAAGGACTTCAGGGTTTTGCATGGTTGAGAGGCTCACGATCAGATTTATGTTTTGAAAAGATTATCCTGACCTCAACATAGAGAACAAATGGATTGGTACAAGGATAAAATCAGTACTAGAGGACGACTGGATAATTATCCAGAAAAGGGGTGACCCTGGCTTACACTAGGATGGTGTGGGAGAGATGGAGAGAAGTGGATGGAAGCAGTAGACTGGGCGATGGGCTGGATTTAAGATGAGGGAGAGGATGATGTCAGGCTGGATTCCTAGGTTTCCGGTTTACTCAGGTGGATGGATGGTGATGCCGTTCACTAAAATTTCTGAATCTAGCCTTTAGATCCTATTGTTACATAGTAACTTGCCCAGGAGGTCTTCTGATTGTCAAGGGAAGGGCGATGTCAAGGCTAGGCTGTGGCTTAGCCTTGTTTGATCTCCATGCTTCCTTCTCTAAGCTGTCCTGGAAACGAAAGCAGAATTTCACCCATACCTGGTTATCCCAAGGAAATCAGGAGACTGCATCACTCTCTTCCCTTGGAAACATACCATTGATTCTCCCAGATATCCAGGGAAAAGGTCACATGCAATCTGAGGCCAAAGGACAGTGGGCTCAGACACCCGACACAGTGAGCCATCACAGCATGATAGGTCTACAGGTCTTTCCTCTGGGAAGAGGTAACACAAGCTCGTGGAACCCTGTTGTGCCGAGGAAGAGGCTGTCTAGTGTGGCTGAACTTCATAAGCAGACAGGTGAGCACGGCATACCTTCACTAAATTCAGGATGATGATGGGGGAGCCAAACCTCTGAAGCATCTGATCAAAGTGAAGGGCAGCCACGTGTGCAAATGGATCTGCCTGATCCACTGAGGAGGAAAAAAGATGAACAGATGTCAGCATGAACATTATAAAGCAAGAATAAAAGGAGTATAGAATTTTGTTTAGTTTTTTAATGTTTAAAGAGATGGAATTCAACTAATCTTCTAGTAGATTCACTTCCAAAATTCCTCTCGAGCTTATCAGACACTCACTTTTCATGTCTATATTGAATGTGAATGATTCTTACATTTCTGAAGTGAAATATAAATAATTTACTAGCAGCCAAAATTAAAGAAAAAAATAAAGTTATTGCATGAAAATAGAAGTCCCTCTTCCAAATTATCTTTCCAGTACAAAAACTTTATTAAAACCTAAGCATTTATGAGATTTCTGTGACAACAGTCCATTATCTATAAATGTGAGTAAAGAAGAATTACTATTAAAAATACTGTTACACTCACATGTAATAGGTGGTTTAGGCATCATGGTTGAAATGTCCTGAGACCAGTATAAAGGAACTGATCCTCTAACTTGCACATAAGAAGAGTAACTTCCTGCAGTAAAAGACATCACAGAAGCATCGCAGAGTATTTGCTCAGTCTCCACTTCATTAGCAACATCACCCTGAAAAGAAAGGTACATTTAAAGATATTTTATGTTCTTAGAATTTTTCAGGGAAAACATTTCAAGTATGCAATGAAATTATAATTCTTATTTTTAATGTTTTAAAAGACATAAATGTTGATCAATATTCAATGTGCACATTAGAAAAGGAAAACCATTAAAATGTAATAAAGGAAGGCAGCTTAAAATAGCAGAGAAAAGACTAGGAAAAAATAAAATGAAATAGCTACTAACACAAGTGGTAGAGAACAGCTTGACTGATATAAATGGCAGAGAGAGAGAGAAAAGAAAAACAATTACATGAAAATATATTACATAGGCGGTTAGGAAGACCAGTGGAATATAAAAATCTGCTTCTGAATACCAAGAAGGAATGAAAGGATGAGAATGAGATTCAAATAATGCCTGATGGACAGAAGGAAAAAAGGGTCTTGAGGTAGCTTTACTTATAAGAGCATATATGGATCACTGCATAAATTATATAAATGTCTAACCACTATGCTATACTAATGTAAAATATTAGAATGTCAACTGTAACTGAAAAAAATAAATAATTACTAAAAAAAGTATATATGGATATGACAAAGAATGATTTTAGAGGCATTAACAACATGTCTGTTTGGTTATCCTTTGAATATGGGAAAGTAAATAATATAGCTACAAAATTCTGATTTTTTTTAAAGCACAACTTTGCAATTATTTAAAGTTACAACTATTTTCATTATTGACATAATTCTAAGAACAATGTTGCTATTTTAAGCCAGGATCAAAACCCAGTGTCTCACTCAATCTGTCTACTCAATCACACATCTGCTTAAGACTCAAATAGTGTCTACTGCAAACAGATGGAGAGCTCAATGGGGATTATATGACTGATGGCAGGAAAAATGAATTTTTGTTATTTTCTGGTGGTGAACAGAAAAAGGAGTCTCTCGTGGGCCAAACCAAAGCAGAGGGGAAAAGGTTTCCCATGCTGTGCTCTCCTTAGTCTTATCATGGATGCGTTCCCAACAACAGTGCTCCCCTCCACTTATTCCTGGGGTGGAGGTGCTTTGCTATTTTAGTCTCTACACTAAATATGTACTACATTTTTTCATATATTACAGAAATGGCTCATCCTCCAAAACATTAGACATTTCATAACTCTGTAAGGCATTGCATAACTCATTCTAAGATAGCTGATTCTTCAGAACATCTGTATATTTATTAGTCATATTTCTCACAAGTTGCAGATACTTTGGAAAATTATTCCCTTGATAATGTCCCAAACTAAGACATTCCACTTTCTATAATTCTACTGTGCTTCATCTGTCAGCAAAGCTGAGTAAAAGGTTAAAATGCCAGCAGCGCTGTGGTTTCTCCATCTTACCTCGCAGTTTGCACCTCTCTTGAGAAAACGGGTCCCAGCAAACTTACTGGATCTTCTAGCTATGAGGGTGACATACACTGGTCGTCCATAGATCAACAGCTCTTAGAAATCAAGTTAAAGTTGTTTAGCATTCATGACAGTCACACCAAACCAAGAGGATCATTATACCTTAAATACATATTTAAGCAGATCTTGAGTGGGTTAAAGAACACCAACAAGCTCCACCCGAGAATGAACAGCATTGGATCCAACTATTCTTCGATTTGTGCAGGTATTTAAGGCAAAAAAAGGCTTCCCTAAGGGGTGGTTTCTAAGAATTTCAGAGGAAATGGTAACCAGGTGGAAGGTTACCAAACAAGGGAAGACCTGGTCTCTCCTTATAGCCATCTAAAGGATGTAAACAGGTACAACTAAACCTTCCTTAGTCTTCAGGGATCACACACCTCTCAAAAAGAACATATGTCACCTAACAGGCTATTTCAATTATAAAGCAATATATAACACTGAGGGAATGAAGTGAGTTTAAAACACTCCAAATGTGTCACCTAACTGCAGACACTGAACACTGTGAACTGTTAACCAACACACAGCATATTAGTTCTATTACCTCATTTAACTTTCTAAGCCTGTTCCATATTCTTATACCTTTTATAATATAAGTATTAATAACATCACTAATTTTATTAGGCAGTTAGGAGGACTAGGTTAGGAAATGTGTGTAAAACTAGTGCCTGGCCTGTAGTAAACGTTCAATAAATCGTAATTACTTTTATCATCATATAGACTTCCAGAATTCACTAAATGCTTGATAAACTAGGAGACTAGATTCATCATCTGAACTAATGAGCTTTCAAATTTAATCTACAGTGCTATTCACTACTTCATAAAAACAAATATTTGTTGTGCTCAATATATGCCAGGTCCTGAGTTAGTTCTTGGCAAGATTAAACAGTCTAGAACTACCTTATAGAAATTGCCTTTAGAAACTAGTTTTTTACATTCTTTTTGGTGTCCTTGGTAGTAAAAACCTTGTGTTCATTTCAGGTAGATTTTACTTTTGGAAATGGAAACAGTAATTCAGGGCCAAATCTCATTATTCAGTGAATGATCAAGCAGATAACACCAGTCATTTGTTGAAAATGATTATAAAGTAATAAGCCTGATTTTCAAGTGTAGCACATGAATCTCACTCATCTTCATTTCAAACTTCCACTGTGTTCATCTAGCCTCTCCTCCTCTCCTTGCCACCAGGAAGGCAGCACTGGTGTTTTTTAAGGGTAACCTCTCCTGCTGTAGCCTTTGAGTCTGCTCCTCCCAAATGCTCCAGTGCAAGAAAGCATATTGATCAATCACAGTCACCCACTTACCGGTCTCAAAACAACTACTCTTTTAAAGTTTTCACTATAGGTCTTTAAAAATCTAAGACACAAGGAAGACTATCAACTAGAAAACATGCTAGGTGCTCAAACGCAATGCTTGATCTCAAAAAGGGATAGGAAAAACCGAATGCCACTTCTAGAAAGTATATGCTTGCGTTCATAGGCCTCATAATAGAAATTTCTTGAAAGGTTTCAACATAGCTAGAAATTCAATAAAAGGGAAAAAAATATTTATAAAATTGACCTCTTCAGCTTAACCCAAGGCTACTTCTATTGAATCTATTATGCCCCTTTCCAATTAAATCCTTTATTACATTATGTCTGAACCACTGTAATATTTTTCCTAACCCACATCCCTTGTTCTAGTCTCATTTTATTTTATCCAGCTTAAAAATGGCCGTCAACTCAAGATTACTCAGCTCTCCTTTGTAAATGACCCTCTTGAAAAACTTTCAAAAGTTCTAGCACCAAACCCAAAGTCCTTAGTCTGACCACCAAAGCCACCCAGTAACTGGCAATGTGACTCCCCCCTACCAGTCTCCTTCCCATTACATTGTACCTTCCAGGAACTTTTAACACAAGCCATGAGAACACTCCCATAAACTCTTCCACCTCTATACCCATGGTGCTTCCCCAACCCATGATCTTGCTCCTTGCTCACTTCTAAGGCCTGACTTGTTTAGGGCCCAGGCCAAGTTTGACTTTTCCTATGAGCCTGTCTTATCCGCCCCACCTGTCAGTGATTCTGCTCCCTCTTTCAGGTAAGAATGATACTTAGCACCTATACAACTTACTATTCACACTGCATCTTCTTCCTTATTATTTATCTTTCTGCATACATAATAGATCTCTTCAAGTGATCTGCACTCCTCTCTGTATTTCTACTACATGGCATAATGGGTAAATTTTCCATGGGTACCTAGCATCATAAGTATAATCTTATAATTCATATATAGCTTTCTACAAATTGCTACAGTATAAGTTTAATAATATGTATCTTATTTTTTTTAAAAAAAGGATACTCGACTGTCCACAGAATCCATGAATAATATACAACAGCCAGTCACGATGCACAGTATTTTTAATTATATCCAGAAGTTCACCATTCCACACATACTTCATGTAAGGCTCACTACAGATCCCAAATACGCCTGAAAAAAAAAATTGGTATCAGAAAGATAAGGAAATTGGCTGATATTCAACTCATTTTTAAGATCTTAGACTTTCATTTTTAACTTCAAAATGAGATGCCTGATTAATCGCACTGCCATTTTCAGTGGATATCATTCATATCACCCAGAACACTGTGCTGATTCTGTACAAAGAATAAACACATTTTCTGATCTGTGAGTTTTTAACCTAAGAGAAAAGAAAACAACAGGGAAATTAAGGACTCATGTACAAATACACGAATAAGGCCGAGAGACAGCACAGAGCAATCAGTGGCTGGGAGCACCCATTGGGGTCAGAGCACCTGGGTGCAAATCCTGGCTCTGACCGCATCAGCAGGGTGACAGGTGTGACTAGGAGTGCTACTTAGTTTCTCAGTGCCCCCGCTTCCTCACCTGTACCTGTATCATGTGGTTGTCATAAAGATGAAATAGGTTGATAATGCACATAAAGTGCTTACTGATATTTCCATAGGTGGTAGTTATTAGTAGATCAGGCCTTTTGTACATAAAGAAATTAATTTTATTGAACATGATTTCAGCATATCCAGATACATTTATTAAACATCAATGAGTTTTACAAAAGTTATATAAAATGCAAAGTAAGTATATTTATAATAATGGTTTAAAAGGTTATAACAGTTCTGGATAGCAGGCAATCAATACTATATTTCTTCTCAAAACTTGATATGCTAAGAGTGTTTATATACTATGACAAATACATTTGATTTGCGTCATAAAAACTGAACCTCCTTTGTCCTTTTAATGCATTACACAGAGCATGTATAATACAGACACGGATTGGAGTCCTGTCTATGCTACTTACCAGCTCTGTGATCTTCGGCAAGTTACTTAACATCTCTGAATATCAATTTTCCAAACTGTAAAATGATGACTACTACTCACCTCAGAGATAGTGTTCAGATTAAATAACATATGCAAAATGACTAATACGCTGCCTGACTAATTAAAAAATGTATTATTTTCCTTGTCTACCTATCCCCATACCTTCTAACCTCACTCTGTTTCCTGTCAGTTTCCCTCTGTGTGGCAGGAGAATAATGTCCCCCATTCCCCAAAAAGGTGTCTATGTCCTAATCACCAGCCCTATGAATATGTTCCATTACATAACAAGGAGGAATTAAAGTTGCAGATGGAATTAAGGTTGCTAATCAGGTAAACTTGAGATAGAGAGACTTATTTGGATTATCCAGGTAGGCCCAATGTAATCATATAGCATCCTTATAAATGAAGAGGAAGAGAGGAGTGTGGGTACCATAGTGATGTAATTTGGAAAAAAACTCAGTGGGCCGTTGCTGGCTTTGAAACTGGAAGGGGGCCAGGAGCCAGGGAATGCAGGCAGCCTCTAAAAGATGGAAAGGACAAGAAAACAAACTTTCCCCTAAGTTCTCAAGAAAGGAATGCAGCCCTGCCGACATCCAAATTTTAGTCTACTGGGACCTATTTTGGACTTCTGACTTCTGTAAGATAATAAATTTATATAGTTTTAAGCCACTAAGTTTGTGGTAATTTGTTATAGCAGCTATAAAAACCTAACACACACTGTTATTCATATCTATTAAGTAGAATTGCTCTAGTGATAGTTCAAAAATAAGTAGCTTCAGAGGCTTAATTCAGACCCAGAACAGATATTAAAATTCATATCTGAGATGAAAATTTAATCATCCTTTTAGCTTTTCTATTACTAAAGGTGATATTTAGAAGAAATGAGGCAAGCAAATATTCAGGCACACATTATCTTACTCTCTACCTGTCTCTAGTAGTATACATTACAATTCAGGTTCTGAATAAGGGCAAATTTATGTGATCTAGCTGTTCTGGGATAGGGAGGGTGCATTGGGCTTGACCTTAGCTCAAGTGATAATCAAGAGTCAAGGGCAATGACAAAGATGGCATTCAGTTTAAGTAATAGTCTAAATCTTCTTAAGAGTGGATCAGAACCTTCGGCAAAATGCTACTAGAGCACAGCCTCTTCTTGTGTGTCCTACAAGGACAAACCTTCTGGAACTTTAGATTGCATTCTACCTCCTGCACCGACATGCTCATCACTATCATTTAAATTGCATTGAGCAAGGTGCCCAAGACACTGTTGACTTATTACGCTTCCAAAGTAAGTATACTTCAGCTCAACTGCCTTAGCTATGTTTGAAATGATTCCTTCACAACATTCACTTTAGCAATGCCTCTGGCTTTAGAGTTCTAGACCAGCCCAAATACCTAGGGATAAAGATACCAGTTCTGTTGTGGGACTGGTTAGTCCAGGATCTCCAGTGTCACCCTGAACTAGTCTCACAGTGGTCCTGCAGTGACCCTACGAGTGGTCCTGACAAAAGCAGGGCCTATGAGGGGCCAGGGGGTAAAACTGGGACCAAAGTAAGAACAGCCTCTGACCTACTACACTGGTTCCTCTGGACACTGGCCATGTGGACTTAATCTCAGGACTCTGTTTCCTACTTAGTCTTTATTTCATTAAAAGTGGCATTATACCTACTGAGCAGTTTTTATGGGGATTAGAGACATTGTATGTAAATGGCTAGGACACAACAGGCAACTCATGGTAATCTTTTTCTAAAACTCAGCCCATACTGAAATGGACTCTATGAAAGAAAATAAGGCGGTAGTAGTGTGTCTTTTCTAATACTTAAAAACAAAATTCTCCATTTCAACTTCACCAAAGTGCAGACCCAAATGTATTCCACAAAAAGTGCATGAAAATTTGCTACAAAATGTCAGCATACCATTTTCTGGCTGGCCTAGAAATAAAACCATCCAGTGATTAATGATCTCTATAAAAATGAATTGGTCAAGTTCATATATCTGAAACAGCCTCGTGTGAGGACAAAGAGCAATGAGGGATAGAGAAATATGAGGGAAATGTGAGTGAATTTAATGAGTGCCATTTCATGGAGGCCACATTAACATACATTAGATGTGCTAAAAACGACCTACCGCTTCCACCTTGTGTAATTAATCCTTCATCTTCAAAGATGTCGAAACTCTCCTGGCGAGTCTGGGTCGTTTCTGACTTTAACATCTCCAGGGGCATTCGCAAGACAGTGAGATTATATTGAAGTGAGTGGGACAAATCATAGCTGTAACTGAGAACAGAACTGAAACTTAATAAGAATTATATAAGCAAAACATATTTCAGGGTCTTGGCTCCCATATGGAATTAAAAACTGTGAACTAAATTACTTAGCACCTGTTACTTTGCTTAAAAGCAATGCTGTTAAAGGAAGCACCGTAAAACAGAGTAAACCATAAATGTAATTGGAAATTCAAAAATCACTGCATGACTTAGGCATCTGCATGACTAGAAATATAACATATACAATACAATGTGAATAACAAACATTCATTGATTTGCAAAGTGCATTTCTTGCTTCACACTGAAAATCAATCTAGGGCCGGCTGAGTGGCACGTTGGTTAAGAGCTGGCTTGGGATGCCAGAGGGCCCCGGTTGGGATCCCACGTATGAGGGCCAGTGACACTGCCTTCTACAGCTAAGATGCTGAACAACAGCTCAACCTGGAGCTGGGCTGCCGTGAGTCACAGGTGACGGCGTAGGCTGCAGCCCCTGCTGCAGTGGGTTGTCATGGGCTACTGTGTGTAGCCAGCAGCCAGTGTGAGCGGCCCTCAAGCCGCCGTGAGTGGCCATCCAGAAGCCGGCGACTGATCTGCCTCACCTGAGAAGAGTGCAATGATGGTGCCAACTTGGACCAGTGAAGCAACATCCTCCACAACTAGACTGAAGAGCAAAAGGACAGCAACTTGTCTGTTCCCTTTCCCCCAATTCCCCAGCGCTGTTCCCTTCCCCCAATTCCCCAATTTAAAAAAAAAAAGAAAATCAATCTAACTTCATGGTCTTGTACAACAGGGTCACACTCTCCTATGTATCTGAATAGAGTTCTTCAGATGTTACAATATCTACTGCATAGTGCAGGGTCTGTACTCCAGTTTACCTATAAACTAAAATAACTCTATTAATTTTTAATGGTGGTACAATAACTGACTTTGTAATAAAACAGGAATAAGAATACAACACAAGCCATTACAGTGAAACATGTTTTAGGAGAGTGACAGCTACCCAAGAAATTATAGCAGTTCAAATAGTCAGTGCAAATAAAATTTGGCCTTGAAGCCAAAATAAACCCTTTACAATTCTGATTCACATACTTAATAATTTTTAGTATCTCTAGCTCATTTTTTAGCATATAATTTCAAAAGGTATCTAGATTCTTTAGGTTTATAAAAATATGTAAAGTATTTTAGTCATATTTTAAGATGGTTATAATTGCACCTAGAAACTCATCCATTATATTTTAATTATTATTTCTTCTTTAATTTATTTATATAATTTCATTGAAATTGATTTGTTTCATCTGTGAAATTCAATTTTACCACATTTGTTTGATAGAGCAATTAATTTACTGCAATCTAATCTCACAGGGATAAAAACTGTATTAAGAAGTTGGTTTTTCAATCCCATTTGCAAGAACACCAGAAAAAAAAAATACTGAGGAATAAATTTAACCAAGGAGGTAAAAAATCTGTATGCTAAAAATTATAAGACATTGATGAAATAAACTGAAGAAGACACAGATAAATGGAAAGATAGCCTATGTTCATGAAACAGAAGAATTAATATTGTATAAATGTTCATACTATCCAAAGTCATCTATAGATTCAGTGCAATCCCTATCAAAATTCCAATGATAGTTTTCACAGAAATAGAAAGAACAATTCTAAAATTCATATAGAACCACAAAAGATCCCTAGTAGCCAAAGCAATCCTAAGAAAGAAAAACAAAGCTGGAGGCATCACATTTCCTAATTTCAAACTTTATTACAAAGCTACTACATTCAAAACAGTATGATACTAGCATAAAAGAAAGACACACAGAACAATGAAACAGAATTGAGAGTCCCCAAATAAACCCACTCATATACAGTCAACTAACATTTGACAAGGAAGCCAAAAAGATTCTATGGGGAAAGGACAGTCTTTTCAATAAATAGCACTGAGAAGAGTAGATAACCACCTGCAGAAGAACAAAATTGGACCCCTGTTTTACACCATTCACAAAAATTAACTCAAAATGGATTAAAGACTTAAATGTGGTACATATATACAATGGAATATTATTTGGCCATTTTAAAAAAAGAACACAGGAAATATACTGTGTCCTCTGATTCCATTTTTATACCCTGGAAATAATTTAAGTGACTGATAAAAGAAAAATTAAGCTCAAACTTACCTAAAGTAAAAATTGCTAGACAGGTCCACATTCTGAAATATTCGTAAATACCTAAAAAAACAAAAAGAAAAAAATCAAAGCATATTACATTCATACAATACTATTATTTTTTCATAGGTTAACATAAACTCATATATACATTTATATTTGTAAATATGCTCATTAAAACTGAGGAATTCATAACTGGGTTAGTGATTTCATCTGAAGCAATTTCTAAGTCTGTTGATCATCCCTTCAGAGACCCTTAACCTTATAGTTTGATCCTTTCCTCATCACTGATTATGCCAGAGAGGGAAAGTCATGCACTTACGTGGGGGTGGGGGGGCACTTAGACTTGGGGAAGACAGAAGTAAATACTGTGTTTGTTTTTACAATGTGCTTTGTAAATGCTTCGAGGTTGGAAAGTGTTTTTAACATAACATTTATAATCTTTTGACCTGTTTTCTAATTGGTCTACTATATTAAAAAAAAATAGTAGTTACCACCAGCACATACCTAGCTTCATCAGGATGAGTAATTCGTACAGAGTCATTGGGTATATAGATCATATTTGTATCTTCAATCTTATATATTGCATGACCTCCAATATCCGCCATCTTCCTCCTCTTAGTTATTAACACAATGTAATAGCCTTCTAAAAACCTGACGAAACCTACAGAACAGAAAAGATAAATATAATGTTTCCTAAATTTAGTAATGCTTTTAGATAATATATTTAAAAGGTGAAATAATTTTGACACATTTCATACTTTATTTCTCTCTATGATTTACAGTCATACAAATTTTCAGTTGTCTTAGAACCATTCTCTAGAACTATCTAAAATGACATTTATCTCACTTAAAAATATCACTCTAAACAATTTTATTTCCTTCATTCACACTTTTACATTAAGTCTCATTCTAAATAGGACTGAAGTGCTGTAAGCAAAAATATGTACAAAATTAAGAAAAGTTGTTGTTCAATGAGTATAAGTTTTAGTTTTGCAAGATGTAAAATTCTAGAGCTCTGTGGCACAGTAAGGTACAAACAGTTAACACCACTGTACTGTACAGTTAAAAATGGCTCAAATTGTAACTTTCATATTATGTTATGTTTTGTACATATATATGTAAAATCAATCCATATGTGTTAGTAAAAAATATGTAAAAACCACCTAAGTTCTCAGAAACTTATAGTACTGTGCTAACATGCACTGTGAATCTTGAGGAGAGACAAAGATTAAGCACCTCCATAGATTTGTTTGATTATGAAACCTCATCCCCTTTTTTAAAAAGAAATTAGCCAATGGATAAATATGTATTCTGAGGAACATATTTTGAAATATGTTGCTCAAAAATAAGAACAAACTTCAAGGACTCTTGATTACTATAGGCTAAACCCAACTTAAGCCAGCTTTCAAAAAAGGATTTAACATGAAGGATACTGAGGTGATCCATGACACCAATGGGCAACAATATGATTGAGCCTCAGAAGAAAACCTAATCAAGATGCATCTCTGAATGTGCTCCAGTCTCATCCCTCTCCACAGTCCAGGCTCCTCCACTTCTCTGGATCATGTGCTGGGAAATAGAGCTACTAACATCTCTAGGTTTTACATCCAAAAGTTTCCCTGGAATGACTTTTTTATCAAGCTCAATTCCAGAATTCGTAGGGAAGGACTTGGATTGGCCCAACATGGGTTGGGTGCCGAGCCCTTGATCAATCAACTGTAGCCAAGCAATAGAGTCACACTGCATTGGAAGCCATTTATACAATACCTAGGTGATTTAGATGGGCCAGGGGGAGTTGGTGCCAGTTCCCAGAAAAGAAAAGGGGTTGATCAAACCAAACAACATTTCCAGTAAATAGCATATCTTTCGTGCAATCTCCCATAAATAGTTAAGCATTTTAAGAATGTTGGAGTATTATTAAGCTATATTTTATGTCCAATCATTGGAATGCACATGTTCTATACTAGTGATTAAAGAAAGATTATATGTGTTAATGTTCAGCAGCACTAAATTCTCAGCAACACACTAGTTATCATATAGTCTTGGTCAAAATCCCAGAACTTTTGCTTTGGGAGTTAAAATTAACTCTCTAGGTGGTGGTGGTCGGGGGTCACTCCCAGATTAGCAATATGAGGAGTTCAGAAGACCCTCTCTCCAGTGAAAAAACCATAACTGGTGAAAAAAAATTTTTTTTTCAGTTTATTTATTTATTTATTTATTTAGTTTCAGGTGTATAAAACAATGTAATAATTAGACATTTCACCCCTCACAAAGTGATAACCTCCCTCCCCCAATCTATTGCCACTCTGACATCATATATATCTATTACAATTATTTTTTTTTAAGTTGAAAGTTTCTGGAAATTATTCTAATGTCATTTAGCAAACAGAGAAACACTTATTCAAGAAAATCTACTAAATCTTGGTAAGAACAGAAGGTCTGTGGCATTTGAATCATACCTACTTTCCTTCCATACCTCTCTTCCAGTTCATTGTGACAGAATATCTACTCCAGGCAGGTGTAGCCAAGAAGATAGTGCTTCCCATTCTCTGCCCAGCTCTCAGTCTAGGGCCATGGTTTCTGCTCAGGAGGTAGGTGCAGGCCACCAGAATTTCTCATTCCCTTCAGCTCTGTGTTACAGAAGCTCTATTCTAAGCAAGAGCTGAGATTTGGGCTTCTTTCTTCTACCCAACTCCTACTCATAGAGTGGAGGCTCTACATCAGCATAACTGTTCAAGAACACTGGGTCCCAATCCTCCTTACCCCAGGGCTAGTCAGATACAGTCATATACAGCTGACTTCCCATCAGCAACATGGAGGCCAAAAGGCTATGAGATAACATGTCCAAAGCACTGAAAGAAAAAACTGTCAACCAAGAATCTTATATCTAGCATAAATATCTTTCAAAATGAACTTTCTTTTGCACACAAGTGCATATGCTCGTTATAACACTCTCTTTCTTTCTCTCTCTCTCTCTGTTACTGTCTGTCTCTCTGTCTCTCTGTCTCTCTCTCTCTGTCTCTCTCTGTCTCTCTCTCTCTCTCTCTCTCTGAGTGTTATATTCTATAAAATCTGAACTAGGATCTTGGTGCTATGAATTTTTGTTCTGGAATTGACAAAATACCCATTATCTGTGTGTTGTTATTTGTGGCTGACAAAAAAAGGAAACTAGTAATTGAATATATTAACATAAATGAACTGAAATATATTAGAAAGATGCTTCATGGAGTTTATGAGCCATACTACTGATAAAAAATGCTATTAAAACAAGGAAAAATACTTATATTTTAGAGAGCCACAAAGTACAAAGTACTTTTTAAAAAATGTTCATTTACAGTCCTTTCCTCACCTTAGAGACTAGCCAAAAATTCCCTGACTAAAGCTAAAGGATATAGAAATGGGAAGGAAAAAAAGATGATGGCAATCACATTAATAGCAAGTTAGGAAGTAGTTATCCTTTTAGAAGAATAAAACTTACAAATGTAAGGCTCTCAGAAGCAGCATAAAAACACTCAAAAAGAGAATCTAATTGGGTTTAAGTAACAAATATTTCCAGGATGAATGATTTTCCCTTTTACTCTTGCTAAATATTTATTTTTTTATACAAAAAAAATCTGTGTAATAATCTCTCAACTTGCATTTCAATTGAATTTTATGTTTTTAGCTGTAGACTAATATCATTTTACCTTTCCCTTTATAATTTGTATAAAAGAAAGTAAACATATTGCACAAAAGAGACTGTTTTCTACCAGCAAAAAAAAAAAAAAAGCCTTCAGTATATGCCACTTCCTTTTTACTACAAATTGGAAGTGACACTCTCTTTTATAAAAGGTTCCAATCAAATACAGATAGCCAACAATTAAAAGGTTTCAGTTTGGCACAGACATCTGCCAAGAGTCAGGCTATTCATCACTTTAACACATGGAACATCGGAACAAGTTTTTTCATCTTCCTTCTATGTACTTCTGATCTCAGACTAGTTTCACTACCTTCCAGAAGCCTAGGTGACAGTCATCATGCAAAAGTGATCTCCCTCTCTCCAAACAGAGACGTCTGTGTCATTTCAAATGGACACCAAGCAAAGTATGTAAAAAAGTATATGAGAGGATGGAGTGGTATAGAGTTCTGGTGGCTGGAGAGGACCCGCCAGCCCATCAACAGGGAAGAACGCGATATGCTTTTTAGGGAGGTGGAGTTACCATGCCAACTAGTCATTATCTTGAAAGCCTATAGGGAGAATAGTAGTCTGGCAGCAAAGTATGAAAAACCTCCACTAGGTACCTCAGGCTTTTACACAACAGCGCCCTCTGGAACCAAAGTGACTCTCTAACACCAAATCTATTGCTCCCTTGCTAGTCTGAGGCTCACACTTTGATGTTGCCATTGTTTTCATTATTATCTTAGACCTGCAATCAGTTACTAAGCGTGCAATTTTAAATAATGACTGAGTCCATCCCTTAGTCGGCTTCTCATATAAGAAATAATAAAACTTCTTTTTCTATCACTTCCCTCCAGTGTACAAGCAGCTTAAAAGGGGATCCTCTCACAGGTGACACAGGCAGAAAAAAGACACAGACCTGAGGCTATCGAAAGGAGCTTAGTTGCAAGGATTGCAGGCCACCAGCCACCAACTCCATCGACGTGTCCCTAGACCAGATAAAGCAACTTCTGTGAAAGACATTCTTGATCCCAGTGATTTCCCAAACTGCCTGCTGGCTGTCAGATAACATTAGAGCAGGTCAGAAATGGGCAAGGTAGCTACAGGACTGGATCAATCCATGTCTAGGGACCAGTGATGGTCCATGAACTTCTGGTACCAGCTCATAAAAAGCCAGGTAAACAAACTGATAGGAAAAGTTTAGAAACTTTACAGCAATTTGAGATTGCCACAAAATCCGAGTGCATGATCAATGAACTTGCTTCAAACAGGGCATAGGCTAGTTATTGAACTTGTGTGATGAGTCATATGTGGTCCAGGGTGAAGACAAGTTCTGGACAGTAGGATCATGTATTGGTCTGTGACATGTAAGTGGGAAAAAATCTGGTCCTTTACTATAGATAGTTGAGAAGCACTGCTCTAGATTCTTATAGGTTGTGAACTAAATTAACCATGATAACAGTCTAAAACATTCCAGCAAAAATTCTACTCACAAATTAAGAATACTAACAAATAATACTAAAACAAATACTAAAAATGTTTCCTAACATAGGAAATATTTTAGCCACAGAATAGAAGACAACCATTCTAGTCATTTCACACATGTATTATTTTTCTTTTGACTTTATTTTTAATTAGCTTTAGGTGTACAAAACAATGTTAATAGGGCCGGCCGAGTGGCGCGATGGTTAAGAACTGGCTTCGGACGCCAGAGGGCCCCGGTTCAGATCCCACATATGAGGGCCAGTGACACTGCCCTC